TACATTGACCCACAACAACACGCGGGTTTTTTTTTACTAGTTTAACTAATTTTTTTACTAAACTAAAGAAATTACCCAATATCTTTGGTGATCTTTAACTCTTACGATAAAAACAATTATAAAGAAATTGATATATAAAGAAATTGATATACATCATTATCAATTTATAACAACCAAATTATAATTATTGGTACCAAATATAATTGATACAATATTGATAACAAAAGAAATTGTACCAATACAATTGATGTGGTATATGATGGGGGCGATCAATATTGTATCACCCTTATATATACATGTATCGGAATGTAACACATTTTATATTCTGTTAGATCCATTATAAAACACTTCTTTATACAAAAAATTAAATAAACAAAAAGTAAACAAACAAACGCAAAATGCTAAGGTAAATATAATAAAGTTATGTTGTTTAACTGGATTAATTAAGAAATATTGTGCTTAAAAAGACAAAATAAAACTCGTTGTCCATAATTCAAAGACTAAACTGCACAAATGGTCTTGTGGTTTGCTCAAAATTGTCACTTTGGTTCAAAATGTTTGGACTAGCACCAGAGGTCAAAAGTTTTCATTTTGTTGCTTGTTTGGTCCAATCTATTTTGATTTTTTTCAAAATGACATATTTGCCCATGTTAATATGATTTTCTCTTTTTTCTTAATTGTTTTTTCTGATTTAAAAAAAATAAAAAATAAAAATAAATCTCTCTCCCCCTCTCTCTCTCTCTCCCCGCTATTTCTCCTTCCTTCTTCATTTGTTCTTCATGGCTCTCAAGAGCCCTTCATCGTCGACTCCACTACCGTCATCGCCATCAACCACCACCACCTTCAGCCCCTATCGTCTCCGCCACTACCAACCTCCAACAGATCTGAAAGCCGCCATTACTTAAAACAAACCATAATCGATTCCCACCACCTGCCATGGATCACCATCTCGCCGTCGCGATCCATCTGAAAAACTCTGTTGCAACTCGATGAAGCTCCATGTCACACCCCAAAACCGAGAACGATGGAATACGTTCTGGGGTGGAGGACGTCATGTACAGTATCATAACAATGCATAATAGTAAAGACAAGCAACAACATCCATTGCATTAATATAATAATTGTAATACAAGCGTGTTCTGTACAGTTTGTAAGACACCAAAGTAAAATCAAAATAAAAGATGAGTCTTATATGTGCTCCATCTTCTCAAAAGTTGCATCTGTACCTGTCTACTGATGACCTGAGAATACAAGTTATTTTGAAAGAGTTTATCAGCATAAAGCTGGTGAGTTCATAAGTATTTAGTGTCTTTGCTTGTATAAAATGTTTACAACCATGTAGTATAATATCTGATTTCGATGTTTGAAAAATAGTATAATCCCTAGAAAACCCTATGTTTTCCAGTAAAAGTGGTCTTCTACCAAGACCCGGTTGTTTACATGTTTGATCCTTTGAAAATGTAAAAGTTTTCCCAGTGAAACTATCAGTATGAAAATATAGTTTTAAACTTTGTTCATGTAAAGTGCTTGGGAAATTAGTGTTTTACCCCAGCAGTATCACTGCCGGCTAATGTAATAAAAATGCAGACTCTAGGTGGTATTAAATGTACAATACACCTCGGGGAGTCTGTTTTACCTTTAATTCTTAATGTATTAATTAAAGGTCCGAATGTGAACTCGTATGTAACAATGCTGATTGACGATCGAATAACTGATGACCCTCCAGGTCACACGTAGTATGGTGACATTTTGTCACCCCTGGTCCTAGTCGGCTCGGACTGTAGCTAGCAGTCGGGATGTGGGAGTGTCTGTCCCGTATAGATCTATACACATAATGCCCGCTCTCCCTCCAGGAGACTCTGGTTACACAGTGATAGCACAGTGAAGTGTCGTATCGTGAAGTAGTATGTCACATTCTATTTTAGTATATGCTCTTGAATATCGTATAAGGTACTTTCTGGTATAATGTATAGAGTGTTCTCTGGTATAGTATATAGTATTCTCTTTGTATAGTATTTAACATGTATTGACTCATGACTGTACTGACTCTGGTAGGTACCAATGTAATAGTAGTAATGAGTAGAAATCCTTAACTATACCTATTATAGTTAAATAGTAATGTTGGTTGCATACTTTTGATACACAAAGGTACTTAACTAAAGTGAAGACTTTTATATCCAACACAAACATATATGATATATAACTAAGAATTCAACGACAGCCGGACAAATAACAAAATACCTTAAGTCCACAACCAAACAAGGAACATGAAATAAGGTGAGCTATCAGTCCTAAGTCCTTCAAGTCTTACTTATATAAATATATTGGTGTAGATATGGTTTGGAAAATAAAGGAAGTTTAAAAGAGTTTGGAAATAGTTTTATAACAATTTAACATGAAAATGAGTTTGATAAACATTTTGAAGCAGCTTTGTTGGCAAAGCAGCTAAAAATATAGAAAATCCATTTGGTTGCAAGTTATAAATCACATGTGATTGATACTATAACTTGTTTGATTCAACTGGTATTCCCCCCCCCCCCCCCCCCATAAAAGCATTTAAAAACATTTAAAAGGTTAATTAAGGGGTATGAACTTACCTGCAGTGAGTAGTTTGGATGGAAGTGTCGGGTAGGATGCTAGGTGTCAAGTGAGGACTTGAACACACACTCGGATCCTATGTAACATGTAGTGATACATAAGTGTATCTAATTAGTTCATTAATCACTAATTTGGTATGTAAAGACACTCCAATGCATGAAAACACTTGGTTTCAGGTGCTAGGAGTGCTAAGGGTTGCTTCTAAGGAGTGTATGACCTCACTATGGAGTTTACACCTCAATTGTTAGTCCCTATGGGTGTTTACGGTTTCTTGACCATTTCCCCATGAGTTTACGGCCGTAAACTCATGGTAATGGTGTATTTGTGTGATTTAAGGCCTCATGCTTCACAAAGAAGGGTCCTAGGGTTGAATCAAAGGCTTAGGAAGTGGTTAGGGCTCGAAATGGCACTCCCTTGGAGTTTACGGTCCTTGGACCACTCCTTGGGAGTTTACGGTCGTAAACCCTAGAGTTTACGGCCGTAAACCCTTGGCCACTTCATTCTTTTCGTGTTTTGTGGTTCTTAGTTCATGCATGCAAGTTCTTAGCCTCTTAACCAAGCATTAGAAGGTGTTAGGGGCATCAAAACACCCTTTGGGGGTGTTTACGGTTTTGGGAGATCCCCAAACCGTAAACACATGTTCTTGGGGGTTTTTGGTGTTCATTCCATGGATTAGCAAGCACACTAAGCAAACAACTAGTTAGAAAGAGGATACTTACTTATAGGAAGCTTGTAAGAGTGTTTAGGACCCAAAAACACTAGTGTGTGTTCTTGGTGTTTTGAAAAACACTTGAAGATCTATGTAAAAATCGAAAATCCATGGATGAAATGATGTATAAACACTAGATTAAGTGTTGTAGGAAAGAATTTAGGAAGGAAAACTTACATTTTTGGCGGTTTTGGAAGAAGTGGGTGATGATACTTGAGAGAAAACTTGGTATTCTTGAGTAGGAAGTGGAAAAATGAGGACAAGAGTGTAAACTCATGCTATATGCATGAGTTCTTTGGGAAAATGGTGTTTACGGCCCAAACACCACTTGTTTGGCCGTAAACACCTAGCTAAGGTGTTGGTTGTTCGGTTTGCTACTCCTCACTAACAACGACACTTCCTTTTATTAAATCGTTTGATGAAAATAAAAATAAAACACCAAACAGACTCAAATCCGGCCAAAAATGTACTGAAATGTTTTTGATTATTATTCGAAGTGTTTGACTGTAGAGATTATACAGATGAAAATTCCGGGTTGTCACACTCCAGATTTGTAAACCACCGTTCTTCCAGCGAGCCTCATATATCTCCATCTTCCTCCGCGTTCTTCATCAGCAAACCCTAGCGATTTGGTGACGACGTTCCAGAGAAAACGAAGGGTGGCGGCAAGTCAGGGTTTTTAAAAAACCCTAATCGGTTATTCTTGTTTCAACGTCGCTATCATCCACCGAAAACCCTAGCTTTTCATCTTCATCAACAAACCCTAGCGTTGGTATGTGTTGAACGACGCCCTTGCCTTCGTCTTTCCAGATTCGACGAGAAAAAAAGAGAAAGGGTGTGACGAACAAATCTGGTGACGAACAGATCCGCTGGTTAATTTCTTTTTTCTTATTTTTTGGCAGATTTGGTGTTGCTGGTGGTTTGACGGTCATCATGTGTTCATGAAAGTCGATGGTGTTTCAGTGGTGGTGTGATGATCTGATGGAGAAAATGATGTGTTGTAGGGTCGATGGTGGCTAATGGTGACAGGATGTAGCTATGGTCAGAGGTGAAGGGTATAGCAGTGGTCGGAGATGGGTGAAGAAGACGATGACTGGATAGAGGTGTATGTTTATTTACTTGCAGACCAAGAACACACATGATATCATTTTCTGTTTTTTAGAACACACACAAACCCAATTTTTTTAAAGAAAAAACCTGGAAATCGGAAACCCATAAATCTATTTCTAAAGAACAAATCCATAAACAAAATGAGTTTTGTATGTTCCGAGTATGTGTTTCAAAAAATAAATTGGTTCTTTGTTTGTGTGTTTCATAGTGGATGTCGTGTGTTCTGGGCGGGGGGGGGGGGGAGAGAGAGAGAGAGAGAGAGAGAGAGAGAGAGAGAGAGAGAGAGAGAGAGAGAGAGAGAGAGAGAGAGAGAGAGAGAGAGAGAGAGAGATTTTTAAATTTAAAAATCAAAAAATACAATTAAGAAAAAAGAGAAAATCATATTAACAGGGGAAAATCTATCATTTTGAAAAAAATCAAAATAAACTAGACCAAACAAACAACAAAATGAAAACTTTAGACTTCTGGTGCTAGTCCAAACATTTTTGGACCAAAGTGACAATTTTGAGCAAACCACAGAAACTATTTGTGCATCTAATTCAAATGTAGAAACTTTTGTGCTCTTTTTGTAAAGTCTAAAAAAGAATAAAATCGAAATCCTATGGACTAAACAAAGCCGCGCGCACCAGAAGATAGAACAGTGTCGTCTCTGCTGCCCTAGCGATTCGGGTACCTCGCGAGTTCTCGCTACTTCGATTATCACCATTTTTCTTGAATTTGTTCATGGTAATTCTTTATTTTATGATAATTCACCATTTATGTACTTCAGTTATTGTGCTCGTTGGATATATAGGTTTTGAATAATTATGATTTTGATCCCAATTACGAATCCAGATGGTTTTTCGAACAAGAAACTACGAAGTTTATTTCTTTTAGAGATATCTGAGACAATTGCCTGCTAAGATCGTTGATGCAAATGCGTTTTTATGAGCTGAATTTGTCTGCATACCAAATGAATCTTGTAAATCATATATTTTGATTTCAGTGGTATCCCAACTACGAAGCTTCGACTCTAAAGCTACTTTGAACACATTTGTTGCTTCACTAAATAACGTTTTCTTTTTAGCTGAATTAGCTCATATATAATTTCCAAATCTACCCATTGATCTTATATACCCATGTACAACATTAACTATAGTTGTAGTTGATAATGTTAGTTAGTAGCAGTTATTTGAAATCTTTAATTAGTGGTAGTTGCAGGTATTAATGATTATAAAGGGGTTGTTTAGAAGGTATGAGAGATGGAATCCTGTGCATCCTACATCGGGAGCTTTTTGGGGCATGGGAATAGGTGTTGGGTGTGGAATTGGATGGGGTCCGGGGTTTGGCCCTGATGTCATTGGATATGTTGGTGCCGGTTGTGGAGTCGGATTTAGTGTCGGAATCACTCTTGCCGGAGTCGGAATCGGTCTTCCGGCTAATCGCCTCCTCAAAGTTCCTTTTAGTGGTATGCTTTCTCATCTTTTCCCAAATCCAAATACTTCCTTTTATATTTGTCACCTGATGGGCTACCATCGTATACCTAATATACATCTCACATGATGCTGTTAGAGCATAACCCTCGTAGGCATGTGTCTGACATGATGTTGTTAGAGCATAACTTTAGTGGGCCACTGTGTACCTGATATACATCTCACATGATGTTGTTAGAGCATAACTCTTGTGGGCATGTGTCTGACATGATGTTGTTAGAGCATAACTCTGGTGGGCCACTGTATACCTGATATACATCTCACATGATGTTGTTAGAGCATAACTCTTGTGGGCATGTGTTTGACATGATGTTGTTAGAGCATAACTCTTGTGGGCATGTGTTTGACATGATGTTGTTAGAGCATAACTCTGGTGGGCCACTGTGTACCTGATATATATCTCACATGATGATGCTGTTAAGTTAGCTAAGAGATTTAAATAATGACCCTTAATAACTTGGCATGCTCGTTTACAGCTTTTATGGCGACAAGAAGCGGTGCAATGGACTTTGCTCGATCTAATGGTCTTCTTGGGACAAGCAGTGTTAACGATGATACATCGGGCATGGAAAGGTGGGTGTCTACCTTCAACCATGAACAATCGGTAGACAAAAGGGTAAAATTTTTGGGTATGAATAGATTTATGTCTTCTCAAGCTAAGTTAGTTTTAGGTTATTTTGATGAACTCAAAACTCGCATTATTGACAATAAGAAAAATGCATAGATTTGTTCGAGCTAAAAGAGTCTTATGTTGCAAAAGCTAAGAGTTTTTTAGTTTATGATATTTTTCTTGAAACTTAAGATTAATTTGCAAAATAATCACAATTTTTTCTTTGGAGAATATAAGTTCTTGTTTGTTATTTTTGGAAAACAAGTGTTGTCTTTTACTAGCTTCTATATGTAATTCTAAAACAAGATTAATTTGAAATCTCTTTTACCTTTAATTAGCCTTTCAGCAAGCCCACCAAATAAAATATAAAATCAATTTAAATCCGTCTAAATTGAAAAGAACATTATCCTAAACCATTTTGTATTGAAATATGATAAAAAAAAAATTGTGAGAAACTTAAATTATTGATTGTTTTTGTAAGATATATATTCCTATCAAATAACATTAACTTTTTTATAACTTATAGCCAAATGACACAAAAGACATTCCGTTTTTATTCTTTTTTTAATATTATTTTAACATTGCTTTTTGTTTTTGTTTTAATCTGAACATTGAATTTTCCAATTTTATTCAATTTTAATCTTTTTTCTTCGTTCAATGGCATAAAGCACACTACAAAACACATTAACACACTATGTTTTATTTTTTTTATATTGTATTTTTCTTTTGACATTGTATTTTCAACTCAACATGGCAAACTAGATATCTTTTTGAGGGTTATGATAAAATAGTAAAAATTGAAGAGTATGATATACGATTTAAAACAAAACATAAATACAATATCAAATTCGAAAAATAAAGTCATTTGCTCTAAATTATAATTATAAATAACAAGCTCTTTTCTTTTGTAGATTTTGTGAAGTAACAAAAAACATATAATATTACTTTGATTTATATACAACAAAAAAAAAATTAACAACATTTATAACCAGAAACAGAAAACATAAGTTGGGACGCTGTTTGTACATCATTTATAAAAATTCACTTCACCCAAGTAAATATACAATTTAAAATAGACCAACATTTATTCCAAAAAAAAAGTTCTTAAAAAACACATGTTGAACAACATTCCAAAGTAATTCAAAGATCAAATACACACATCAAACACAAACTTCATCTTTTACCACAACCCCACTTCATAATCACCTCCATTCTTACCCATCTTCACAAAACCAAAAACAAAACATCAGTATCAATAACAGTATTAGTACTATCAGTAACAGTATCAGTATTGTTACGCACCATTAGAGGTACAATCACTTCGTGCATTGTAATCATTAGTAGTTGACATGGACAACTGGGTGGTGGACCACGGTTCCCTAGCTTCGGGCCACTCATCGAAAAACGGGCGCATTGATTGTTGCTCATTTTTCACTTCAATTGGGGACCCGATTTTGCTTCCAAATAAGCAATGTTGTTGTTGTTGACTTGGCTTTGACATTGATATAGGGTCAACCACAGAGTCAAAATTAACCATGGATTTGGTTTGTAAGTAAGATTCATTTCTTGATTCCATTAAAGAAGATGTGGGAATTTGGTTTGGGAGTAGACGCCATGTATTGGAAGTGTAATTTTGATCATCCACATCAACCGTTAGTGATTGATCATACCTAAGGGGCAAAATAGTCATTTAACATGAGTCTAACGTCCTAATCAAAATAATCTTTCAAATATAACGTACCTATAATTGTTGTTGTTGATTCCATTTCCATATGCACTACCATGAACCTGTAACTTTGACACATTGCTTCCAAAATCAAAACTACAAGAACTAGAAGTAGGATACAAGGATGAATTCTGGAAACTTCCATTTCCAAGATTCTGGTAGCTTCTACCACCACCATTGCTCACAGTACTAACATTTGAAACTGCAGTTGTTGACAATGACTGAGAAGCAGATTGAGATAGAGATTGAGATTGAGATTCCACAGGCTTTCTTGAACGGTTTCTACCACGATGCATATGGCGTTCACAGTATTTGGAGTCTGGATACGCGTCTTTTGAGCATCTCCATTTCTTCCCATCTGTTCTCCTACATCTCCCTGGCTCTGGATCAAATTTCTTCCCGTAGTATGAACAGTAGCTCAATGCTTCAAAAGTTTAAGATTAGTCAGAAATTACACAAGAAACTGAAATCAGATTCTGATTCAATCATCCGATTTAGATATATGATATTGGATGATTGTATTTCATATATGTTGGAGATTTGGAGTATGTTTGGTGTTGTAGAATCAAATAGAACATGTACGCAAGAAACTTATGAGAAGCTTTTGAAACTTCAACCTAATAGAAGATCGGGAAGAAGAGAAATGAAAGGAATAAAGGATAAATCTAAATCCGCCTTCGTTAAACTTCAATACAGAAATCAGAAATGGATCTTATGTTCTACAAAATAACTTGAATTTTGTAGCAAATCATAATCGATTTCCCCAATCTGAAAAGCAAAACCTTTGAAATCGAAAGTCAAAGTCTAGGATATCTATCGAAACCAAGTCGTTGAGTAAAAACTGAGAACGTAAACATGATTCGGAGATTTGTGAACTTACAAGTAGGATTAGTGAAGAACCTAGCAGATAAAGCTTCGAGGCTTCTTCTAATTGGAACAACGAGATCATAAGGTACAGGAACTCCTGCGACTAAGTATTTGTATATCAGAGCTTGATGTTCCAGCTCCTGCCACTGCACCGGCGTGAACGGCGGACGATATCCAGATATTCCACCGCCACCGCCACCGCCGCCCGCTACCGCCACTGTCGTGCTGCCACTCATCTCCTTTACTGTGTTGTCGTTTTTCAAGGAAAATTAACTGCAATAAAACTGCAGATATGTTTATATAAATGTTGCAGGGGAACATATACGTGTATGGATGGGGAGAGAGAGAGGGGGTTACCTTTGAAGGGGCAGATCTAGGGTTTGGCCATGCGTGGTAAGAAAGGAATTAGGATGTGGGGATGAGATGGTTGGCATAAGCATTCATTTACATATTCTTTTTATTTTCTTACTTTCTTTGAAGATAAACATTACTTTCTTTGAAAACATTTGAGGATTTATATGTATATGATTATTCATTTATTTGTTTGATAATTGTGCTAAATTGAAATTCAGTTAAAAAAAATTTACTCTTGTTTTTCCTTTCGAATATTTTGTAACAAAATAAATTCGACCTTGTATCGCTTGTTTACAAACTTGAAATAATTACTTCGAACAAGAGCTTTTGAATTAGCAAACCCCTTGAATTAATTCATGACACGTTAAGCAAACATAAAATAAATAGATTTGGGTAAAGAACTTTAGTCACCTTATCATCAAACCATTTCACCAGGTTATGGAAATGTGTTTAGTAGTAAAAAAGAGATAAAGATAGAAAAAGAAGAGAGATAGAGAAGTGTCTTCAGTGAAAGATCTATGACCACATTCACTCCATAATACATCTACTATAACGTGGGGCGGTGTTCACCGGTGGAAACCTCCTCCACATTATCTTCTACGTGTGAAAGGTGCTATATATAGCCTAAGTAATGAGTTGACACGCGACATTAATATTAAAAGGGTAAAGTTAAAGCCAAATTTTTTCAACTCAAGCAAAATAGATCATAGTCGGTGGTATTTGGTTGACATGGTGTCACACATGTAAGTAGTTAAGAGTTCAAGTCTTATATAAGATAGTGGTGTAATTTATGAGTAAAATTAGAGTTAGGTCTTAGGTGTGTGAGAGTCGTCATTCTAAAAACTCTTTTTTTTTTAACTTGACACGACATAACATGTTTAAAAGGTCTAATTCTTAAAACTATTAACCCAACACAAAATTAATGGGTTTGTATAAGAATTTTCAACCCTTCTTCTAAGTAACTAGTTGACATGTACAACATGGATATTAAATGGGTAAGTTAGTGTCAATCGTTTTTAACATGTTTAATGTTTCAACTCGACATTGACAGAACATGTTACCAAGTCCATTTTTAGACTTTTAGAAACTAGATTTATGGTTTGAAGCTAGTAAACTCAATTATGACACTTCCTTTAGCAACTCTTCAAAGTGTATTAATTAGAGTTACAACATGTGATTATAATTCAACAAAAGGATACAAAAGAAATAATGGATCATTCGACGTGGTGGCTAGGAGTTTAGAAGTCATTCATTTGTTGTTTGATGCATAACTTCGAATCATATAGTATTAACAAAGAGGAGGATGTTGGATATGAAGTATTTGTTGTGACAAATCCACGCTTAAGTGTTGATATCCGAAGTGCGGTTTTTACCTTTTGATAGCCAAAGTAGTTTGTAGAGCATATTATGCTCCTTCGGATGTATGTTTTGTATTTGAATAACTAATGCAATATGTAAGGTTAAATGAAATAAACGAGTGAAAAAATAAGGTAAATAAGGTTAAACGGAGGATATCCGGCCAAAAGGGGGTTAACAGGAGATTCGAGGTAAGCGAGGAAAACGGGGAAAAGGGTGGTCTTCAAATTCGGGGGCGGAAAACAGGAAAATTCAAGGTTGGAGTCGGGGTCGGGGTCGGGGTCAATCTTGAGAAATTCCATTACTAGTCACTATTAGAAAATAATAGGAAAATAAATGTAACAGAAAGCATTGAAATATTCGATTTTTAAGATAATAAGAATCAGATTACATTTATTTTCTAAAAATCATCCATATGCTCTAAAAGTTAGCGATCAAAAAGTTGTGACGTTTTCTGATTCGGTTAACATACTTGGATAGTACTCGTTAACGTGATCTCAAGGATATAAGATTCATAAAAATCTGACTCCGATAGAGAGAGTTATGTAATTTATAAAAATAGAAATGAACCACGTAGTTAAAATTAGTTACGTCGAAACGGTACTTAGAGATTGGTTGAGTTTTGACTAAAAGTGCGAAAATGAGTTTCGTAGTACTCCTCGAGATATAAACTTTAGGAAAAAGTTTGTCGAAAACGGGATCCATATGAGTAAGTTATGATTTTTATAAAATCATTAATTCTTACCCCCGTTGGGCTCGAAAATGAAAGTCAAAACCGGACAAAACAACTAAAAGGAAAGTTGTAGTACCGGTTGAGATCATCACATAGATATAGAGAGGGTCTATATTGGAGCTCATGGCTCCACCTATTCAAACTCCCGACCCACATAGGTGTTGGACCTTGGAATCCAACTCGAGGGTTAGGATTTGGTATTGGGGTCACTTGAGGTAGGTTGTCGACTTCGGGTTCCTAGTCAGTCTCTTCAGGTAATGGTTCGGCGAATCCATCGTCCAAGGGATTTCATGATTTCCTTCCGGCTCTGGCTCGATCCATCCATCATCTCCTTGGTTGGGAAAGTACGGGTCGCCAGGAAGATGGAATCCAGCCATGCTATCGACGCGAGGTGATGATAAAGGGATAGTTAATGGGCATCGAATCTAATAATACTCCCAATGTATTATAGCTACAGGATTGATTCTTGAAGATTGGATTCTTGGGTAAGTTTCCGGTCAGGTCGCTATAGCATCCTAAAATAATAGCATCCTAAAATAATAGCATCCTAAAATACTCCTATAGTATTTTAACCCTTATGTTCGGTTCTAGAATTCTTCTGGTATCTAGGTAAGTTTTAGGCTTGCTGCAACACCACAGTCACTCCCAAGCACATGTTGGTCATGTCTCGAATGAATATAGTTGATCAGGCTATATTGATCCTAGACATGATTACATAACTGCCCAGGTTTAACCGCAGTGTCTCAACATCCAAATACTTTTGTTTTGTTCAACCTATGACACAATTTCAGGTTCTTAGGTATACTTGTATACTTTTATAAAAATACTTATATTTTTGAAAGTATACTTTTAGTTTAGAGCACTTAGGCCCCTTAGTATTTATAGTTGTATACCATGTAAGGTTCGGTATACTTAGTTCGCTATAAACAAGGGCTCTGATACCAATCTGTCACACCCCGAAACCGTGATGGCGGAATCGTTCCGGGGTGGAGGACATCATGCGTAGTATCACAACAATTGTATCATAGCAAGCATAGTAAACACAACCAGACATTTAATACATATATGAAAGAGGTTTACATTGTTTTAATACATAGTTTTGTTCATATCAAAAGCAAAATAGAAAGACGCGACTCTAACACTTCGACTTCTCCGAGCTCCTGGAAGTACCTGTTTACTAATTCCCTGAGAATACAAGCAGTTTTGAAAGAGTATCAGCATAAAGCTGGTGAGTTCATAAGCATTTTGGTTTTGGTGGAAAATGTTCTTTGAATCCTTTTGAAAAGTGTTCCTCAAGAAAATCCTATATTTTCTTATGAAAAGCGGTTTTGAAAGAGTGTCCATTAGTAGAAAATAAACCATCAGTTTTAGAAATGCCGGTGTTATCTTGGGAAAATCCTATATTTTCCCTAAAAACAGGTTATCCGTACTAGAGGTAGAGATGTAAGTTTTGAAAACCCATGATTACTATCGGTATATACACGAAAGTAGTTTTATTAATCAAAATAAAACAAGTGAAGAGTAGAGTCCGTAAACAAGGTTAGTTTATACTTATTTGCGAGTCGTATAACCATACTTGATATGACTAGAGACCTTTCTAACGTTCTTCAGGCGTTAAGTTAAATGACATTTGTTCACCACAGGCGTGCCCGCCTAACTGTAACTAGCAGTTCTGGTGTGGGATTGTCAGTCCCGAATAGATCTATTCACAAATCTCACGCTCTCCCTCCAGGAGACTCTGGTTATACTAAAAGGATTTATCACTACACACCTAAGGGTACAGTATTGAAGTAGCACCTCACAATTATGTATAATCTAGTTTACTAGCGAGAAATCAGTATAAAACAGTAATTATCCTTGAATAAATGTACTTTATACTTCTGAGAAAACATATAACATAAACTAAATCTGCCATAGTTTATATATATTCATTTATGAAATTTGATTAAGTAGAGACTGCCTACAGGGTTATCCCAAACTATACCCATTATAGTTTATTAGAGTTGATATGGAAAATGCTTTGTAAAAACCTTTTCTGAAAGCTATGAAGTTGGATTTCCAAAATAGAAGTTTCCCTTATGTTCAACATATTACAAAAAGAGATTAAATATCCGAATATGTTATTAAATGTGGAAGTCGTTGGACTGCATTAATAAGTTTAAAACTTAACAAAATACTTAGTGTTTGGCTTGTATTCCCCCCTGAAAACATTAAAAACACGGAAAATGTAGGGGTATGAACTCACTGTTTGACGGATGATTCGAGCGGATGGTCGATTACGAGTGTTGAGTGTCAATTGAGGTTTCGCACTCAAGTGGATCCTAGTAACATATAATAGCACATATATGTATTAGATTTAGGTATTCCATGACAAAACATGACGGGAAACCACCCTAAAGACTTGGAAATGCTTGTCGGGACCTTATGTGATCAAACAAAGGAGGTGTATGGTCATTAGGGTGTGTGTGCGGCCAGGGTGTGCAGTCAGCATGTGTGTGCGGTTGCACACAGGAGTGTGCGGCCGTACAGAGTGTGTGCGGCCGTACACTCCTCATTTATGCCCGAAATGTTGATTTTGAGGTGTTCTTGTGCTAATACCAAGTCCTATTAGTGAATGAAGGCCAAACTCTTCACTTTGGAGAGCTTTAAGGTGTGTACGGCCACCTTATGAAGGTGTGCGGCCGTACACCTTCATGTGGTGAAGAACATGATGAACTTTGATGGTTAAGGGCTTAGATCAATGGGTCCTTCATGTATGATAAGCTAGGTGATGGAAAACTCACGTTTTTGAGGCCTTGAGAGCGTTCTTGGATGAAGTTCTTAGAGAGAGAAAGTAGAGAGAGAAAGTAGAGTGCAGCCAAATGAAAGGAATAAGTGAAGGGGTCACCCTATATAAATAGGGATGAGTGTGCGGCTGGAGGATGGGTGTGCGGCCACACACTCGTGTGTGCGGCCATTCACTCGGGTGTGCGGCCATACACTCATGTGTGCGGCCATACACTCGGGTGTGCGGCCACACACTCCTTTTGATGGAGTGTTTGGCCTATTTGCAACCCTAAATCTTAAACCAACCCATCCCTATTTTAAACTTTGGTTGAACAAGGCTTTAGATCATCCAAACAGGCTCAAAACAATGCTAAAAGATAGCTGAACGAGTTTAGCATTGATAGAATTGGCTAAGTGTACAAGATAAAAGTTTCGGGTTGTCACATCATCCCCCCGTTAGAGGGAATTTCGTCCCGAAATTCAAGAATAGAGGTATAACTCATAGACTTGGAAAAGATGGAGGTACTTAAGGTTCATGGAACTCTCGTCTAACTCGAGGTTGTCGAGGGGAAATCGTAGGTGTCTCATCGGACGAACACTTATTTGGTTCGACACAAGAAAGACGGGATGGACGCTGCTAAGCGCTCGAGGTAACTGGAGTTTGTATGTTATGGGACTGATCCTAGCAAGGATCCTGGACAGTCCAACGTATCCTGATTTTAGCTTTCACGCCTTCCGAAGCGTATCAAGCCTTTTCCGGGGTGAGACCTGCAAAAGACACATCCACCAATCTGGAACCCCTAGGGTTTTTGTCTCTCATCGGCGTAGCCCTTTTTGTACGATCTTTTCGGTCATCCTACGGATGGTTTTAGGACTCGCGCGAGTGCTGTCGGGGACTTGACTCTTTGACTATTTGCGTGTCGCCCGCCTCAGCCCAACACAGATGGGGTCTGTACTTATGGTTGTATAGGGCTTCGAGCAGCGCATCCTTGCTACTGGAAAGGTCGCCGTTGTTACAAGAAAGTTCATTTAAGAGTAGATGTGTGTCCCACGACGTATCTTCATTGGTCCGGATGGTTCCCTTACTTTGTCCTTCTCTTTATGGATGATACTCTTCGTATGAATACTTTCGGGTTTCAAAGAGACATGAATTTTTCGAAGTTCGCATCTAGTTTGTCATCACGAGCGACTGGAGTTTCGCGATTCGAACGATTTAAGACAAAAGGGTTTGGTATAACATAGACTCGGTCGAAACTAGGCAGGATGGTGTCGTAGAATCATGCGTTAAGTTAGTCCGGGAGGATCGTTTTGCTAGCACATTGGTATCCCTAGATGAACGTCTCTGGTGTTTTCTGCGTTTGATATTGGACTCGGTAGGTACTACTACTAGTGCGAGGGTCCCGATGTTTTGAAACCATGAACTCTCGATGGAATGATTCTCACTAGACTTTCCTATGATTTCTTGGCGCATACAAGTCATGTATAAACACAACTGACTCTAATGTATACACTATGCTATCATAATTTTTTTTTACCCCTTAGGGCATCAACTTTTAAGAGTACGTCGTTATTAAATTTGGACGAGAAAGAAATCACGATTATGAATTAGTCATTTAGGTTTTTGAAAACGTACCAAAACAAGGCAGGGTCCTTCGATGCTTCCTCCTTCACTGAGGTCAGACTCCTCCGGTTTCCTCATTGTTCCTTTCTGTTGGGCAGTATGTTGTGAAATGTCCCATTTCGCCACATGTACCGCATACTTGAATTATGCTCGCGTCGGTAGTGGAAGTGATGTGCTCAGTCGGGGTCTTTGCGAAGCGAGCTTCCTGGCCATCCTCGGCCCCTGGACAATTTCTTTTGAAATGTCCGGGTTCGCCACACTTGTAGCAAACCTAACACATCTTTTCACCAGAAATCGAGGCGTTTGACGGTGTTTATTGCCTGGAATATGTGTTATATATATATATATATATATATATATATATGATGACATATAATGTGCGAACCAGATATGGTTCTATGTATGGTAAGATGTATATATATATATATATATATATATATATATATATACCTAATACTTTGTGTTAAATATATACACCGAATTAGGATGGTGTTGCCTAAAGAAAGTTGGTATTGGATGTTGATTACAGGGATTGTAGTCTAGTCTAGTTTTTAAACTAAAACATATAAAGGATGATTAGGTCCAATTAAGTTGGATAATAGTATAATTTCACACTGTAACAAGGTATAAACATGAAACAGTTTGGATGATGATTTCAAGCGTTTTAGTCTTGCTTAGTGATGGAGTGAGACTTATAAATGATGCTTAGTTTGAGTTAAGTTGAAGGGGTGTTAGATATACCCTTTATTGTAAATATATTACATCGGCATAATCTTCATGATGATGATGGGTATTGTAATCTTGTATAGTTATAGACTAAGACCCAAAGAGATGCGTAGTTCAATTAAGTTTGGACATTGGTTAGTTTTATATTGGGATGAGTGTGATCTTGGAACGGAGAGTAGAACTCTGTTCGATTACATCGATGATTTAATGGGATATGTATTATGTACAAGAGTACTACGTTGCTGTTCCCCCTCCTTTTACACTTGGAATACCTGATAGGGTGTGCCTATATCAGACCATTGTTAGGTATATCTGATTCAGGTAGCTGTTAGGTGCCTGGATGACCAATCATTTGTCGGAGTAAGATGACGACCACTAGCTATTACATATAGTCTTGTGGAATCTTAGCGGGTAATAATTCTCGTAGATGTTAATGAACTGTATGTTCATTCGATGTACTCCATTTTCCCTTATTGTTGCCTTTATTAATCTTCCTTGGCTGCTAGGGAATCCCGGAAGCAGTATAGTCAACTCTTTGTTTATAATGATCCATCAGGATAGATCTTATAAGATCAATGTATTAGGATCGGTATGTGAGGATCGATGAGATAGGTAGTTAGGGAAAATGTCTTATATATATATATATATATATATATATGATGTGTTGTTGGATGACAGTTGGTTTTGCAGGTTATGGATTGTGGATTAATATAACATTATGGGATTGAAAACCCTATGTATTTCACCAGGTTTCTCAACCCAATCCATTCAATTTATATGCATTACAAGTAGCGGTGTTAAGACTATTGTAGATTTAATTTAGATGTTGAGGATTGAAGAGGATACCTGCAATAGTATTCATGACTCTTAGGTCTTGACGGTATAACATATGTTGTTATTTTTTATTACATCCATAGAGTTTTTATATTATGAAACAATCATCAATATTGTTTTAATATATTGGGATTTTCCGCAAATCAAAATATAATGATTTTTAAAGCATAATTTGTTTTCGGTTCTTGAAAATAGGGGTTGTCACTTGATGTTTGGGTTTAGTTGGTAGGTTTGAGCACCCCCTGCATCATTAGGTTTAGATCTGGCCTAGAAAGGGAGCTGATGGTCTTGATCTCCGACTTATTGTCAGTGGTTTCTGGGGTATGTGTTGTTGAGAGAGATTGGAGGTGGGTGAATCCGTATTTGGATGAAGATTATTTGTTGTGGTGGTTGGATGATAACGACCATAGTATTAGGTTCTGCAGTTAAATGAAGAAGGCTGATGGTCGATGGAAGTACTGGTGGTGGGGATTGATGATTGTGGTGGTTGATGGCATCTCCGACATAAAAGAGGTTGACGATCTCGATAGAGGAGAAAGAGATGGAGAGGATGAAGTCATTTACGTTGTGTCGTGTATGGTGTGGGGTGGGCCCAAGTCATTTAATATTTTACATATAATTTTTAAATAATTTAATTAATATAATAATTAAAAGAATTGGAAAAAAAATTATAAGAGCATACACGTCTTTTTAAATGTATATAGCCAAATCCAATAAAAAAAATCTAATTTTAAACAATTGATGAACCATCAAAATTAAATCACAAAATTTACTAGTACCATTTTTGCAATTTTGTAATACATAGATTCATACCACTCAATCAAATTTCCACCTAAGTGCTCCTCCCTTCCGCTTTTTTAAAAAATAAAATAAAATCGAAAGTACCCTCACTAATCTGGCAGATCCCCCCCGGCTGTTCTCCCCCCATTTCTCCATTTTCTTCAAATTTTCTCCTCTCAAGAATCCACCCACAATAATTTCTCTCTTTTCTGTCTCTCTCCATAGTCATGAGCCTTTTCGGTCTCGGCAGGCAAGTACAATTGTAATTTGGCATCTCATGTCTTTGTGAATCGTTTCTTACACGTATACATGGTTGTATGATGCATTGCCTCGAATTTGTTGATCTGGGTATTTCTGATTTATTCTGATTACGATGAATTTAGTGTTTTCCGATTGATAAAGTGCTCAATTGGCGTCGTTGCATTTTCGCCTTTACCAAAATGAATAAGAAATCGCTATTTTGCAAATGACCCGTTTTCAACTTGAAATTTGGTTTGAATTTAAGGAAAATCTTGATGACCTGCATTTCCTTAATGATTGTTTACAAAATATATGCTATATTTTTGCATGGAAATATATGTCGAATTTTGAATTTGATTTAGTTTTGACCTCGAAATGCATTTCTGTACATCTTTTTCGATTTTCAAGGTGTATGTGCTCTTATTATTATTACAAACATGGATTATATAGTGTATATGTTGATTAATTGGGTCGTGGGAAAGTAAGTCAGAAACAAGACTTGAAATGATCTGGAATATTTGATCCAAATTATTGAACTGAATACACTTGCAGATTAATGAGACCCATAATTTACGTTTTGAAGTTGAAGCTAATTGATACCAATTTGTGTATCAAACATATAACTGCAAAATCCTTGGTAATTTGCTTCATCGTTGTAATTTGATTGAAGAAGTTAAAAGGTTGCATTCTTTAGTTGCAAAGTGTTGAGGAGATTCTCGGATGTTTCTTGATTACAATTTGATTAACAACTCTATAAAAACGAGATGCTTGATAGATGCACAAAAGGTGTTTGATGAAATGCTTCACATAAATGTTGTTGTTGTTGTTGTTTTTTTTTTTTTTTTTTCACAAAACACATGTTACAACTGATTATCCAATTCTGTTATTCTAAAACACATAATCTATAACAAAATTAAATCCCAAACACTCCCTAATTTACTTATTTTAACAATTTTAACAGGAATCAGAGGACATTTCGTCCCAAAAAAAGTGCACCCTCAGGGAGTAAGGTTAACCTCTCTCTCTACAATTTGATTTTTTTTACAGTTGCAGATGTAATAATAATATATTTATTGCATCAATAATTTTATATTTTAATAAAATAGGGTGCACAACTAAGGAAACACATTGATGCTACTTTGGGAAGTGGAAACTTAAGAGAAGCTGTAAGACTTCCACCAGGGGAAGATATAAATGAATGGCTTGCTGTCAACAGTTAACTCTCTTTCCTTCACTTTGAGAATAGGAAATAGCAACCTACTTTCATTTCTTTTTTATGAAAAACTAAAAAGGGAATATACTTTCAGTTTTTTTAAATCGGAATAAAAAGGGTTTGATTTTTGATTTTCAGCTGTGGATTTCTTCAACCAGGTGAATCTTCTTTATGGCACATTAACCGAGTTTTGTACACCTGACAGCTGTCCAACAATGGCTGCGGGCCCAAAGTATGTCCTACTGATATAATAAATTAATAATTACCATATTTTCATGTTATGTATATAGGGAAAATTGCAGGAAATAACAACATACTTTATTCTTTTTAATCAATACAGGCGATATACTTTATTATTTTTACCCATAGTAGCAATATTCTTATATTAATTTACCCAAAATAAAAACATGATAAATCTTAAAAATGGTCCCTGTGGTTTCCAAAAAAATCGAGTTCGGTCCTTAACTTTTTAGTTCATCAACGTTGGTCCCTGTGGTTTCAAAACTTTTAAAGGATGGCCCTTAACCCTAACTCTGTTAGTTTTTTTATTGTTAAGTCCATTTAGACGAGGGCAAAATAGTCTTTTCCATACTACAACGACCATTTTTGAAGATTTCTATATATATTTAAATAATAAAGTCAGAAAATATATATATATATATATATATATATATATATATATATATATCTTCAAAAATGGTCCCTGTGGAATGGAAAATACTATTTTGCCCTCATCTAAATGGACTTAAACAGAAAAAAAACTAACAGAGTTAAGGTTAAGGACCATCTTTTAAAAGTTTTGAAACCACATGGACCAACGTTGATGACCTAAAAAGTTAAGGACTGAACTCGATTTTTTTGGAAACCACAGGGACCATTTTTGAAGATTTGTCTAAAAACATATATGGCATACTTAATATGATAATTAAATTGATTACTAAATATATAGAATTAAGCATCTTTAGGAGAGATAAATGTCCATTGAGAGCATACTGATTTTGTGTTTTGATTCTTGTGGACAGTTTACAAGATAATATCTTTTGATATTTATAAAAAATTAAAAATATTATGTAAATGAAACTTTCAGATATGAATATAGATGGGCTGATGGTGTGCAAATCAAGAAGCCTATAGAAGTATCGGCTCCAAAATATGTGGAGTATTTAATGGATTGGATTGAGTCACAATTGGATGATGAATCTATATTTCCTCAAAAACTCGGTAATTTCCTTTTTTGTTTTGTTTTTTCCTCAAATGCCCTTTTTAAAGTACATTGCTATTTTTCTCTAATGATTTTTCAGGTACACCATTTCCTAACAATTTCAGGGATGTAGTGAAAACGATATTTAAACGTTTATTTCGTGTATATGCTCATATTTATCATACACACTTTCAAAAGATTGTGAGTCTCAAGGAGGAAGCACATTTAAATACATGCTTCAAGCATTTCATATTGTTTACATGTGTAAGTGTTTTACACTTGTTTATTTCCATATACAAATCTTTAAGATTTGTGTTTTTTTTAAAGGTTTTTATATCTTGTATACTTCTTGATTTAAGGGCTTTGTGTATGTAGGAGTTCTGTTTGATTGACAACAAGGAGTTAGCTCCACTTCAAGAGCTTATAGAATCCATTGTTATCCCTCATTGAAGAACCTCTCTATTGAGGAACATAATAAGATGGTGTGGTTAAAGATGTCAAATATTAATGTTGTGTTTTTTATTCTATTATTTGATCCGTTAATGAAAAAGTTGTGATTTTAAATCTTTGTATGGCTAAATGTTTTTACCAAGATAGGCTTTCTTGAGCTAATAATAAGAGTTTAACTACTAAGAACTAAAATATACTATTACATCAATTTAGTTTATTCAAATGTTACTATTCTAACAATAGTAGAATATGTCTCTATTTTATTCTAAGCTTGCTATTTCTAAAAGTTGGACAGAGTAAATAAAGTCATCATTATGTAAATGGTCCTTCCTTTACTCTAACCTAGAGATGCATGAAAAACCCGGTTTGGGATTAGAGTTAGTTTGAGCTAGAAATCGGTTAGAGTGAAATCAATTTGGTTTGAAGCGGATTCTGTAGTGTGGGACTGGTTTGGCATATGGAAGGTTAGAATCGGTTTGAGTGAAATTGGATTAGAAACTGGTTTTTAAAACTTTCAAAAAATCGATTTTCATATAGTATAAAAATAAATTGTTTCCATCCATTATTTCTTTTAATTGTTGTCGATACAAAGTTTTGAAGGTTTCCTAAAAATTGGTTTTAATATTTTCTCTCAAAAATAGTTTTTAAAAAAAATAAAAGTCGAAAAATGTCGTTTTGAACCCTTGAACGATCCCGAATGGCTGAAAAGTGCCTTGCATCAAAACAATGAATTTTGCTTTGGTTTATTTATGATCAAACACATGAAATTTTTGTTTAAATTTAACACCGAAATTACGTTCAGCAAAATGCGCAAAAGTGGAGAAAAACATATGGTTTTTCTAACAGGTTTTGAAATGATTTCAATGCGGCTTATACATTTGAACTTTTTTGCCTCCAAAACAGCTTAAAACGGAACTGATTCACACAAACGGATTTTGAACATTGTCCAAAAAAAACCCAAAACAATTTCAAACCAATCTGGTTTGGTTTGGAAAACCGATTTGTGTACCTCTACTCTAACTAGGGGCGGACCGAAGAAGAAGGGAGTGAGGTAGGTGCCCAAACGGTTAGTTTTTTTTGTTATACATGTATTAGTTTATTTGTCTAAGGTACCTGTAACTTTGCAAAAACAAACTAAGTGCCTCCAATTCATTGTTTGTTCTTGTTTATGATGTTATAAGGTTCAATTTAAATGTATGTGTTGATTTCTTTTATTGTTTTCTTTTTTCATTTAGGCTATACTGCACATGCTTGTGTTTAAAAAATGTGGTTTTAATGTAGATCAAATGTTTGATGAAATGCCTTAGAGCATTAGACCATGGCACTTGTATAGGGATATTATTGAAAAGAATACATAGTGAATTTCATGTATTTTTGTATAATTCTCTCTAATAAATAAAGATATTTTTTGCCACATGACATATTCTCCTTCAATTTGATAAATGTCAATATGTGGTAATTTTGAATTATTATTTTTTTTCCAAATGTTATTTTATGGGTTTTCCTATTTTATTAAAGTTCATATAATATTTAATACAATAATTGCAATAAATATAGTAATAAATGGATATCAATTTCATTAATGGGTTTACCTTCTAATTTCAAAAATTTTAAATTAAAGTTTATTAGTTTTTTTTGTTTATTTGTTTAAATTATTTGTTTAAATTTAAAAGATAAAAAACATTTCAATTTTAACAATTCATTATTTTTTTTATTTTCTTATAAATTCAAAGTTCTCAATTATTTATATATATATATATATATATATATATATATATATATATATATATATATATATATATATATATATATATAGGGGAATGATCAAATGAGAACACCTAAAAGGTTGAGAACGCGAGAACAATTCTGGACCAATCAATATATAAGGGCATGTTAGTAATTGTATATTTTAATTAAATTAAAATAAAAAAAAATCAATCAAATTCCCTTAAATTTAGGATCAGTTACTAAAAAAGAAATAAATATTCGATTTTTTATTTTTCTTATTAGTGGAATATAAAAAACATTTTATGAAAAAAATTTAAAACTGAAAAAAAAAAATTAATTTTTTTTTCTTAAAAAAATAATTTTTTTTCTCTTATTTCACGTTTTTTCCTTAAAAAAAAATGAATATAAATCCAACCCCAAATCAATACTGTATTCATAAACGAATTTTTTTCTTCAGAAAACTTGATACTACTCCAATCACAAATGAATACACATCAATTTACAAGTAATCCAATTCTTTTTTTTAATCAACTGAAAATAAAATGAGTGTAAAAATTATCATTTCTTCATAAAAGAATACCTCTAATCATATATAAATACACTCATTCACACATGATTACATTGTTGTTCACAAATGAATACATTGCTATTAACAAATTAAATGAATACCCTACTATTTACAAATGAATAAATGAATACCTCTAATCATAAATAAATACATTCATTCACACATGAATACACTGCTATTCACAAATGAATATACTGCTATTCATAAATAAATACAAATTCTATCATAAATGAATTCATCAAAATATAATATAACTTACATCTAAAAAAATATAGAACATAATAGAAATTTTCATTCTCATCTAGCTTAAATTCTTCACCTTTCATCTTCTCAAACAACTCCAAAGGACCTCCACAAAAACCCATATATCATTGAGTTCAATCAACTTCCGTGCACAACCTTTTCCTATGAATATGATTCCAGGTCTGGGCTATCTTTCAAGGGGAAGGTCAACTGTGTGATGAGTTTGGTTGAAGGTGCTGATAATCAAGAGAAACCAAAAAAAATAACTACACATAAAACATATTCATATGACTTTTTTTTACCCCAAAAAAAATGAGTGTAATTCTGAATTCTCATATTAGATATATTCAATACGATGAATGTAAGTGTAAAGTGAAGATATCATATTAGTATTGCAAAAATCCACAAAATAATAACTAAAATTCATAAAAGAATACCTCTCTCACGCATTTCATCAAGCAACTTTTGTGCACAACCTTTTACTTTGAATCTGAATACAATTTTACTTTGAATCTAATAACTAAAACTTTTGTGCACAACCTACATCAAGTCTCATAATCATTAATGATTATAACTCAACGCTTACCTCTTGATCTCTGGATCTCTAGTAATCATTAACGATTAATGAGACTCAACCATCGATTTCAATCCAAACAAAAAAGAGAAAAAGAAATTTGTTGTTCTTTTCTTCTTCTTTGATTTTTGTTAAAAAAAAAAAATGGAGAGCAGCCCAAATGATTTCTGACCTGTTTCCGTTCATTGTCACTCGATCAGACGAGGATCGAACATTCCCCAATCGATTATGCCTCCCGATCCCTGCTTCATTCGTGAATCCTTCTCTTCCGATCAACAACAATTCGGAGATCCTGTTCCAAAACAGAAAAGTGAAAAAGAAATTTGTTGTTCTTCTCTTATTCTTCTTCGATTTTTGTTAAAATCAAACAAAAAAAACGAGAGCAGCCCAAATGATTTCTGACCTGTTTCCGTTAATTGTCACTCGATCAGACGAGGATCGAACATTCCCCAATCGACTGTGCCTCCCGATCCCTGCTCCGTTCGTGAATCCTTCCCTTCTGATCAAAAGCAATTCAGAGATCCTGTTTCCCTTTCGCCTTTTTTGGCTTCATCGATTCCAATCTGTCCCACCATTCTTTTCCCTTTTGTGGTGGATCGATGATGTAGGGTGGAGGCGTACCTAGGTTTACAGAGAGAGATGAAGAGAGAGACGGGAAATAGAAGGAAATAGGTGAGTGATTGAGGAATTATAGGAATTAAATAACGGTGGTAAAGGTCCAATTACTATAATACCCTTATCACCATTTGAAGTTACACTTTAATACCTGTAACTTTTAAAATTTTACATAAATGGCCCATTCGATAATAACCTTAGATTTAGTTTTTTAAATGGTTTAGATCTGTTCTCGCGTTCTCAACCTTTTGGGTGTTCTCATTTGATCCTACTCCTATATATATATATATATATATATATATATATATATATATATATATATATATAAATTAACCCATGTAATACATGGATCTCACAAGTAGTTTTAAAAATATAGAAGGCATACTACCAATTTATTAAGAAATCTAATGGTAAGTCTATTTATGTAGCACCCGTTGTGCAAGGTTGCAATAAAGTATCTAGGATTCAAAGTGATTTTCAAAACTACCAGCTCTATGTCCTAAGTTATTATTAGTAAGCTAAATATTAATAGTTTGCCACTCAAAGAGAGATATTACCTCATAGGAATTAAGTTATAACCACAATAATAAAAGAGAGAAACCAAGCATCTTGTAATAGAAACAAATTAAATGCATAAGGTCTCTTTGACTCCTTTGTATTCATAATAAGATCACGTGAAAAAAATTTAAACCTAGTGCTTAAAGGGTCGACCGATCTTTAGTCTGATTCGTGTTTTTTTATCTGTTGATGTTATTTAAGCATTTAAATCCATAGTCTCAACACATCATTTGTAACATCTTAAAATTGGACCTAAGAGTTTTGCCATCTTTGGTGAGAAAATAAAAATTTGGAAATATAAATTAACTAACTAAAATAAAAAAATAATAAAAAAATATAAAAGAAAATAAATTAAAATAATAATTTTCACAGAAAAGTTCAATTAAGATTTTATTTAGACTTCAAAAGTTGAGAAGAAAATAGATAGGGTACTAGTTTTGCCAAATAGCAAACTTGATGACAAAGTGGTGACATAGTCAATGACCAATTATTTAAGAAGGAATATTATTGGGGATAAAGCATGAGAAATGGAAGTTACATAAGCTAGTTGGTTGAATGGTGTCATTTTTATGGAATTGAAAGAGGGAATGGCCAAATATGTCAAGTGATGAAAGATATAGCTAGTTAGATGGGGTTCTTCCCTAATTGAGAGGGAAAATGACTTGGAGAAGAAATAAGACCACGAATGGAGATTTTAGAGCTTGAAGGGATGAATTTAATCTAACTCTTGTAAATGGATGAATTAGACATAACTCTTGTAGATGGAAAAAGATTGTGAAGTTAGTGTTTCATCTAAGCAATTAGAGGTATAATTACTACCTATTTCTATCTAGATTTCAAACCTAAGGTTTGGGGTGAAGCCCCAAATCCGATGA